TCGAATCACTGCACCAGATTGAGCTAAAAGATTATGTCACCCTGTTGCTCTATTAAAGACCGGGAGCGAGTGGAGGGCCTCACCATTCTGGCAAATTGCCCGATGATGCTGGATGTAGTTACCAGCGAAACGTCACAGTACTCAAAATTTTAAATGATGTTGATTCATTCTTCAACACACCGGTGGGCTAAAGTAGTGAACTATTTGTCTTGGAAAACGTGACACATTTTTTACTGTTTGGCAGTGTCGGGTGGTGATTTACGACACATTTATAAAATAACGCGATGTAACCCAAAAAAATATTTATGACTAATATTGGTCGCGAAAGCCTCTGTGTTAAACTGACCATGTACTGTGTTAGCTACTGGAAGACAAAGGCGGTTGGCGAGGTTCTGATCCTGTGGAATACATGTTATCTTATTCTTGGTTCTTTCGGTAAAGTCACGTAGAAGGGAAACAATAAAATAACCTGATGGTTCAATGAGCCACTCTGTCTACAGGAAAGCTACCCATACGGATGCTTACCTGAAACCGGATTCCCACCACCATCCATCCCAGAAGAATTCCCTCATCAAGACTCTGCACCATGTGGTTTTCACACATGATGATGATTGCTTGTGTTGCAGTCAAAACGTTGTGATAATTTTGTTTTATATTTTTATTATTCTATTGTTTCCCTTCTACGTGGTGACTTTACCAAAAGAACCAAGAATATGAATCCCTGCAGTCACGAAAGCTTTAAATCAAAACATTATCTTGGTCGTGTGTGATTGATATATTTCACATTGTATCTCTTCTGAATGACCCTAGGTCGAAAACTTTCATAATGACTTGGTTCATGCTTAACCAAGATTTGTGGTATACCATAGTTGTTACCAAGGATAATACGAGGGTTCTATTAATATTTGTTCCCAGTCTGTATTGACAGGGATCTGTGCTTCTTATTCTCAAGTCATATTTGATATCCTGAGGTTGAAGATATAGCTAAGCTTCAAACCTTACTGTTGTATTTCAAAAACCCCAGTTAGCTCAATAATGATTAAATGCCCTTTGTGGTATATGCCGGGTATTGGAAATTTAATGAAAATAATAAAAAAGATGATTTTTAAAATGTCATTATGCACATAAATTATGCTAATTAGAGATATAATCGTATTGATTTATGTGAATATGTGCGATTATGCTAATGCAAGCCGTTACGATAATTAGGCCCTGCCTCATTGTCGAGGGTAGTATTACCAATCGGGATAATACAATTAATGTATGAAGTTATGCAGGTGTGCTGTAAGTATGCTAGATTAAGCTCGGTTTCGTTGTCTAGGTTCGTATTATCACTCGGTATAATACAATTATTCTCGCTTTAAAATTTACTGATTATGTATTAGTGTGTTTATGTCAGGTCTCCATATTAAAATCTCACCACAAGATACAGTTCTTATAATTAAGGTTATTACGCATGAACTTAGGAAAGAAACACTCAAACACTTCTGTGTTAAGCAATTTTAATTTCTAAACAAAAACATAATACTCTAATATGCGAACTCTTATGCTTGGAATTGTCAACACAGTACTGGAAATGTTCTCCTCATCGATCCATACATTTAATCCTCAATGATCACGTTGTTAAATTGGGTAACAGAATAATTGATTAATTCCTTAGGGTAACGCGAGCATATACGGTGACAGGAAAAAGTCCTTAAAATTCATGCAACGACGTTCATACGAAGGGCAATAAAGAAACATGTCCCGAAGGCAAAAGTATACGGCAATGAATTCATTGGGAAGATTATGCAGTTACGAAATGTCTTGGGACAATGGTGTGCGACAGTATGCCTGCTTCAGCAAATGCTTATCAATTGGCTGAGGCTTCAATTAATTCGCGGGCAAGATTCTGTGATCAAAATAACGATTTCAACACAATATTCTCCCTGTGAGTGTGTAGATTCGTAACGTAGGTTTCTAAACGTTTAGTTTCATAAATGAATTCATTGGTAATAGTTATGCAATTAAAAAGAAAGAGGAAAAATAACGACTAAAATACTTCTAAATGACTGTATCCACGTAACTTAATGGGCCGCAATGTTCTTCGTTATCAGCTAATAGTTCACACTTATCATGAGTCTTCTTGTATGTGTTAATGTGTGAGTGTTGTTGATCTTCTTGCATTAAGCAAACGCCGAGGTTGGGCATCCCTTGTATCAAAAATGTGTTTGTCTCCTGCGGAGAGGTGAGGGTGTGAGGGTGGGCGTGTCTTACAATCGGTGGGCGTGTCTTACAAACGGTGGGTGTCTTACAATGGTGGGCGTGTCTTACAACGGTGGGCGTGTCTTACAACGTCCTCGTTGCTTTTTCTTGCTCGGGGCGTCGGCTTAGCTGCCCGTCTGCTGGCAGATACAGGCTCTTTCTACTGCTGGAGGAGTTGCGTCGGCACGTTGCTTGTCCTTGAAGATGCTCGATCGCGCTTGCCGCTGATCCGATGACAGCAGCAGGCTCCTTCCACTGCTGGAGGAGCTGCATTGCAAGCGCTCCTTACTGCCCGTGCTCTTTGTCGATGCCCGATTGCGCGTGCAGTTCGTTCGCTGGTGGCAGACACCCTTGCTCGTTATTCTATTGCTCGGCTGTAGCTCCTGGTGGGAGCAGGCACTCAGGATAGAATGACTTTGAGCGATACTTCTTCTGTCAGCTCTAAACTCGTGTTCGGTGAAACATCGCTACTCGGCAAGTCTCTCCATTCCTGGTTGATTGCAGAGTCTCACCCCGGAGCTTGCCGCTCGCCGCCCTCTTCTGTCGCTCGCTGAGCTGTCTCTTGCTGAGCTGTCCCTTGTCGAGCTCCCCATGTCGAGCTGAACTGTGTGTGTCGTGTTGCTGTTTTTACCCGAAAAATCTCCCCTCTGCGCGTCTCTTGCGAGAGAAAAAAACAGATGCTTACTCCGTCATGCTCTCCCCCCGCGGCCGTGCCCGATTGCCCCCCTCCCCTCTTCCCTTGGTGACCCCGGGCTGCTTTACATCAAATGGATGTTTGTTTGCCCTCCCAACCCCTCTCTTCGCGGTGTCCGCTAAGGGAGGGGACGCACCTTTCATACGTTGTATGGCTACCATGTGTTTGTGTCAAATTGTTGGAAGACAAAGGCAGCCAGGGAGGCTCTGATTTAATGGAATACATTTATCTGGTCTTTGTGTTTGACCTATTTCTTGTACCTCTAATGAATTAGCCTAGGTCTAATCTCTTGTGATTATTATTTGGTTTGTGTTTAACCAAGATTTATAATGTACCATTAGATGTTACTTCCAGTATTTCAAGGGTTTTATTAACTTTTGCTCCCTGTCTGCATCCAGGGATCCGTGTTTTTTTATTCTCGAGGTCAGAGATATCCCGAGGCTGGCGATATAACCAAGCCCTCACTTTCTTGACTGCTAGAATTCACATTCCTTGGTTCTCTTGGTGAAATTAGATAGAAATATACAATAAGAAACAATGTGAGTTGAATAAGGGTGAAATAAAAAAAAGTAATAATAAAGCCACTAATATAGACTGCAGTCTATCATTGTCGACTTATTCTTATAGCCAAGCTTTAACTACTTCCGTACAAAAAAATATCAATTATAATGTCCATTTGCCCTGTGCTGTGTCCGTGCCTGTGATTCTGGATATGTTTGTGAACTGTCAAAAGTGCCAAGCAGGTCATGGTATGTGGTCCTTTGGCAATCTGGAGATTTTGCAGATCGCCGTTAACCTCCCTTTGCCCCGGAGTTTATTATTTAATGGCCTTTTACGACCTCCAGATCCTTGGTGTTTGTGGGAGGTAGCGGGTTTGAGGGTGTTTATTTATTTATTTGATCGATTATTTAAAAAAAATGGCAGAATTATTCTTAATATAAATTTTGGAAAAAGGCCTACATATACAACACCTTGGGTGAATTTCGCTGTCCAAGGGAGGTTCGCGACTCCTGCTGTTTTCGTCTTTTGTTTTATTGTGGGGTTTTTCCTTTATGGCGGCCTTCTCTTGAAGTCAACTGGGGATTTCCCGCAGAATCTCATTAGCCCCCCCCCCCCCCTTGGGTTTGCCATTTTTAAAATTATATTTTATGACTTTCCCAGCAGGCTAGTGAGTAATTATCCTCCGCAGTCTTTTGTGGCAAGGCAGGAGGCGGGGGGGGGGGGGGACTCACCCTTTCCGTGCCCCAGCGCTACATCCCGATGAAAATGATTACAAAACCACTAGAAAGAATCAATCAATATAATTTTATGGAAAAGGCATATATACAACATGCTCTTCGAGTGTTTGTGATGAGATGATACAAAACTGAGTTGCTGAGGCTATTAAGCAAGCACCATATAAATGCTAAAATGATTATAACATAGTATGAAATAGTGAATGCTTCGGAGATTATTGGCTCTGGCTCCTGGTAAGAGATCTACCCAACCCACAGGTCCGCAAAAACTGGTTGCTCTTACTCTGCAGGTTGAACCTAGGAATGGGGTGTTCAACCTCACGTTATTGTAATTAAAAGCCTGTGACAAAGGTGAATATATTGGACCTTCATTGTCTCAAGCTTACACATCTACAGGGTCTCCATTTGACTTTGTATTGTCTAAGAAGTCCACCCACACCTCCACTTCCACAAACTGCTGGGAGTTGCCTCGCTCTGCCTCACAGTCAGAATTCTCCTCCTGCTTCACGTTGCCTCCATCGATGTGAAGGCCCAATTTTGGAGTTGAATCTTCATCTTCACATTTTACCATCACTTCTTCGCTCTTCATCACTTCTTCACATTTCACCTTCACTTCTTCGCTCTTCACCATCACTTCTTCATATTTCACCTTCGCCTGTTCAAAATCCACCTTGATACATTTCATTGCGTCCAAGCTGGAATTAAATTCTGGTTCTTTTTTCAGCAGGGATGGGCTCATTGCAGCACTTCGACTTTCACAAGCCGATTTCAGACTCCGCTCCTTGGGGACCTTCTGATAACTGTGTGTCCTCTGGTGTCTATGAAGCTGTGGTGACTGTGCAAACGCCTTTCCGCACAGAGTGCACTTGAAGGGTTTCTCTTCTGTGTGCATTCTCTGGTGGTCGTGAAGAGTTGATGACCGTGCAAATGCGCTTCCACACAGAGTGCACTTGAAGGGTTTCTCTCCTGTGTGCCTTCTCTGGTGGTTGCGAAGAATTGATGATTGTGCAAATGCCTTCTCACACACAGTGCACTTGAAGGGTTTCTCTCCCGTGTGTGTTTTCTGGTGGCTCTGAAGACCTGATGACTGTGCAAATGCCTTCTCACACACAGTGCACTTGAAGGGTTTATCTCCTGTGTGTGTTCTCTGATGGATCTGAAGACCTGATGACCATGCAAATGCCTTCTCACACACAGTGCACTTGAAGGGTTTCTCTCCTGTGTGTGTTCTCTGGTGGCTCTGAAGAACTGATGGCTTAGCAAATGCCTTCTCACAGACAGTGCACTTGAAGGGGTTCTCTCCCATGTGTGTTCTCTGGTGTGTTTTAAGATGTGATGACTGTGCAAATGCCTTCTCACACACATTGCACTTGAAGGGGTTCTCTCCTGTGTGCGTTCTCTGGTGTTTATTAAGATCATATGACCGTGTAAACGCCTTGTCACACATAGTGCACCTGAAGGGTTTCTCTCCTGTGTGTGATCTCTGGTGTCTCTGAAGAACTGCTGACTTTGCAAATGCCTTCTCACAAACAATACACTTGAAGGGTTTCTCTCCTGTGTGTGTTCTCTGGTGGCTCCTAAGAATTGATGACTGTGCAAATGCCCTCTCACACACACTGCACTTGAAGGGTTTCTCTCCTGTGTGTGTCCTCTGGTGGCTCTGAAGAACTGATGGCTTGGCAAATGCCTTCTCACAGACAGTGCACTTGAAAAGTTTATTTTCTGTGTGTGTTCTCTGGTGTTTTTGAAGATTTGATGACTGTGCAAATGCCCTCTCAAACACACTGCACTTGAAGGGTTTCTCTCCTGTGTGTGTTCTCTGGTGCTGTGCCAAACTTCCAGTATGATCCGTGCTGTATGCACACTGGTCGCATTGTTTCTTTTTTTTACCGAGCTGCGCTGAGTGCCTTTGCTCCATCAGACCAATTCTGCAGAGGAAGCGTCAGAGGAAGCGTCAGCTGCAGTCAGAAAAACGTATCCACACCATCTACGTCAGTATCAAGACACAGAGGAATGCATATATACACAGTCACACATGACTTACACATCTATACTTATTCATATATTCATGATATAGTGAAAAGTATTCCCCAATTCATCACGCGGGCTGTTAAGGCACACAATGAGAGGGCCAATGGACATAAATATTCCTGGATGCCCTAGTATCTTCAAAATGAATGTTTACCCAAAACTCAAAGCACACAATTTCGGCTGTCTAGCTATGAAAGGAATATTTAAGAAAAATTCAGCTATAATAGTGAGGTGTGTTCAAAATAATACTATTTGTATTATGCAGAAATGCATAAATTAATGTTCAATCGAAACTTCGAGGTGGAAGCCAGGCTCAGATTCGCTTGAATGCTCGGATGAACAAATCTAACTTCAGCTGCATATGTGCTGAGATATTTTCCTGATTGTTTCCATCCTTACAAAAAGTCCCAGAGGAAAATTAAAATAAACTAGTGTTTTGATTTAACCTCCATGTTCAATCGTTAATATACTTTACTGCAAATACAAACTTTATATTGTCACACACTGGCATGGTAAAAAGGTGGTTGTGTGTCCAGAACCATGCCTGGCCACCTTCATCTGCTCATTATTAATGCTTTCTCACTTCACCATGTAATTAATTTAAGATCAATCAACATAGCAGAGGCCCACAATAAGTTCAGCTTTCACTTACACTATGTAACACGATTTTTTTTGTCCCTGGATGGCTAGTGTTATTTTTTTATTGGTCATGCCCACAAACTTTCCTTTTGTAACCAGGACTTTACGTGAAGGAATGACACAAATGCACACGTTTTCTCATTAAAAATAGGTAAATTTCAAAATATCACTGTCCTGCTCACAAAAGCAAAGGTTGTGGGGAATAAGAGCCATTTTCTGTACTTTTGAGGCATAAGCAATTAGAAAATAACACTTACTACGCAGGGACATTTATTTTTGTTACACAGTGTTATCAATCATGTTTGCTGTCGGCGATAATCAAACTAATTGTTGAGTTCATAATGCAGTGAAATAACTGCGAGATAAACTGTTAATTACATACATTTCACATGGATCATTAACATATTATATAAACGAAACATCCACCATTCATGACGAATTGCAAGTAACCTTATCCCAGTGCTAATGCCATGATAGATGGAATTTAAGGCCATGTAAGTGTGGATTCCTTGTCAGCAGGTAATGGGAATGATCCAGGTGTCAAGGGATGACTGACAGAAGAACCAGCTGTGCTCCCCACTGTCTTGCTGGGTTTGAGGAACCCAGCGTTCCACCTATTATTCATGTGGGCGTCGCTCTTCCGACCTCATTGTTATTGCAGAGCAAACATCTCTTATCTGCCATGAAGCATACCTCACGGACCTCCTCCACAGAGGCCGATCTTCACTCCTAGCACCAGTCATCAGCAGGTCCAATCACATCCTCCAATCTCTTCTCTAGCCAATGCCATGCCTGATCAGCCCCTAATATCTGGACAAAAAGCTGCTTGAGCATGCAGTGTCTGGGAATGTGGGATTCATGACCGAACTAATGCAGCCTCGCCTGCCAAAGAAACTCAAGATTATATTCTATATTGATATCTTAAGGATCTGTAAGCTTCTAATAGAATATAGTTTGGTTGAATAGAGGATGAATCATAGGCAGGCCAGCCTTCATTGTATAAGCCAGCACAGATTGTCATTTAAATAAGATCATATTCTGAATACACAGAGTAAAAGAATCACAGCTTTGTTCGTTAGTTTCTAAAAACGCTTGTCCTGGTGAGGGTCGCGGTGGCAGCATACTGAGAAGGGCGGTCCAGGTCTCCCTTTCCCCGGCGACAGACTCTAGCTCATCCTGGGGAATTCCGCAGCGTTCCCAGGCCAGCAGAGCGACATAGTCCCGCCAGCGTGTTCTGGGCCAGCCTTGGGGTCATTGCCCAGTGGGACGTGTCTGGTAGAGTTCCAGAGGGAGTCTATTGGGGGGCATCCTTACATATATTCTATATTGATATCACCCCTAGAGCCAGGCCCTGTGTTCACCAACAAGCGCCTCGTGGCCGCGTGACCCACGTAACTCAGTCGGGCCAGCTCGAAATGGCTACGTGGTGCCATCCTGTGCGTCGAACATCCGCAGGATGAAAGGTGAGAGGCGGGTGCGATGCCAGTATGGCAGGGAGAGGGATGGTCTCAGATGGACTAGACCTTGGCGATGGACACTCACAGCTTTGTATGGAGCAAAAGTCCAGGCACCTTCCACAAGTGTTACACAGTCTAATGAAAGAATGCTGCTCGACTAATTTGAAGTGAGACTTTGGCTGCCAAATCAGAGCTGGTCGTGAACACATTAACCAGGTATGGAAGCTCCTCCACCACTTGTAGAACTGCCTGATTATTCATGGAGAGTTGAGCAGGTGTAGTGTTGCATGATATGACATTCCCAGGCAGGTCATTTATTTTTGTGGAACATTTGCAAGGCCCCATTTCATGATGGAATTATCAAGGCACAGAACAAGATTCCCTAATTCCATCTCACTGAGTAGCCATTACCAAATCATCAGCAGATGTAACATGGTTGACCAGCAGGGAACGATCCTTTAACTATAACCAGGCATCGATTAGCATATCACTGTAACCATAACGAATGCAATGGTTTTTACATGACGATTTGGAGCTTCTCAAAATACATAGTTATTGAAGATGCTATGTAATGTAATGCATGGGGGCAGAGTGAATTTCTGTCACAAGCCAAGTTGAACAGGAAATGGCTCCGACTCCTGGTCACACAGCTTTAGACTGTCCTGCCCAAAATCATACAAATCCTCAAATAATGTGAACAGAGGCATAGATTTGAAAAAAATAACAACCCAAAGCCCCAACCATCTTTATGGTACAATAGTGCTTAATTAAATTAAGAATGCAGAGATCTAGTTTCTGTTGAAAATCCATAAGCCTCTGCTGTAGTCAATAGACGTAAAATACAGCAGGCCCTTGCATTTCGCGGAGGTTACGTTCTTGAAAATTGCTGCGCGAAAGCTAAAAGCGCGATATTCAATACTTAAGCCTTACCTAAGTAATGGCGTTAAGTAAACGTCAACGAAATTTTACATCACAATTGAATTAAGTACTGTACTGTATTCCAAATAAACTACACAATTGAAATAAAGAAACCATGTACAAAAAATATTCCAAGACAAAAAATAGTATAAATCTATAAAGATACAGCAGACTTTGCGCTTGTGTAGATTTTTTTTGCGAACCAAATTGCGCCAACACACCCCAAACTTTCCACACACACTCACGGGTGAGTTAGTGTGTCTTTCACACTATTTTTAGCATATCTTCTCACCTTCAATACCTGTACCACGTGCACACTCCAACCCCCCCCCCCCCCGCTCCTCACCTCCCGCCCTCGCTTTCTCTTGCTATGTGTTATGGCACGGGACATTCTCACAACTTCCCGTTTGCCACACATGCAAACACATTTTGACATTTCACCTACTACAATTCCACGCACTCACCATAACATGTGTCTCAACTGCACTGCTATATATGTTCTCACAGTTCTACTTGCATGTCTGACAATACCGAAAAAAACAAAGATTAATACTAGACAGGCTCACCAGCATTGCAAAAATGTCATCAACACCAAGATGCAATTCCTGCAAGGTGATGATGGCTACCATTTCCTACTCCGCCAAACTGACCCAACAACAGGCTTGCCAAAACAAATTAAAATTTCCGCCATGGACGTCTTTGCCTTCAGGATCATGGTACGAAACTGCAGCTTCAATCTCTCCTTGAGATGCAAAGGGCTCTTCCACTAATTTGCTGTCGACATGTATGCCAAAATGTAAGCCTCATTCAATTAAAACCACCAGATGGCAAAACATCCGACAAGTCTTATTGCTGTGGCAAGACATGCCCGTAAGGAAAACTCTTATGTTCACAGTTTCAAGTGTGCCACGGAGAAGATGACTTCAGAATACAATGTTGTCATTCATGCCGACTAAATTCCACATGTTCTTAGTTCTTTCGGTAAAGTCACGTGACTTTACCGAAAGAACTAAGAATATGAATTACTGCAGTCACGAAAGCTTTAAATCTAAATTCCACATGGTCAACATGAGTGCCGCTTAAATGCACTCACAACATCTGAAGTCGCTGTCATTCTGACTGCTGAACAACATGTTACTCGAAGCATCGCCTTGCAACTGAGGAACAATACCCGACACAAAAATTAAACACACCAATCCTATGATGCTGTTTAATGTCTACTGATTTTCTGGAAAGGTGATGATGGCTATAATTTCCTACTTCGCCAAAGTGACCCAGCAACAAGTTGCCAACATAAAATATTTCCGCCATGGACTTCTTTGCCTTCAGGATCATGGTGTAAAACGGCAGCTTAAATCTCTTAGTGAGATGCAAAAAGCTCTTCCACCAATTTGCTGTCAACATGTATGCCAAAATTGAAGCTTCATTCGATTAAACCTATCATATGGAAAAATATCCAACATTGTCTATCCTAAAGATATCCAAGGGCAACGGATTTAAAAGCTGCCCTAATTATGAAACAAACAAGCCATGCGATTGTATAACACAACCGAAAACCCGAAACATTTACCTACTTCTTCTTTGGTTCTTTCGGTAAAGTCACGTAGAATGAGAAAATTTATAGACTGTCTGGTAGGACAGCACTCCAGCGCTGTCCTACCAGACAGTCTCGTCCCTTCACCTGATGAAGGCCGCTTGTGTTGTGGCCGAAACGTCGTGAGAATATTATTGTGTTATTTTATTTTATCAATTTATTATTTTATTCTCATTCTACGTGACTTTACCGAAAG